CCCCATGCATGAATGGACTTCGGGGGCCCATTCCCCATGGAAGGATACTCCCTCAGCCTAGAGACATGAGGGAGGGCCTAGGCCCTAGCCCAAATGACTTGACAGATTTCGATGATTCCTCAAGGAAGGCCCCACCCACCCTGGGGAATGGAAGAGGGATCTGTACAGGGCATGGGAGGATGGGATGGAGAGGGTCCTGGGATCAATATGTAAAATAATAAAAAAATATTAAATAATTTTTTAAAAAATCATGAGAAAAAAAAAGCTTAGCAGGGTGTGCTCATTTATCCTGTAATTACAGCAACTGGGAGTCTAAGGCAGGAGGATTGCTTGCTTGAGATAAAACTGGGCTATCTATAGCAAGACCCTGTATTGATTGATGGAATTTCTCTTATTCAAACTAAGCACTTGACATGTATTGAAAGCACAAAAAACTAATATATTCTTATTATTAATAATTTTTTTACCTGATAATTCCGTATCTAGTAACTTCTAGGGAAATTTAAGATATATACAAAAATGTATGCATAGGATGATTATTATAGTTTAATAGCCAAATAGATTATTAATAAACACAACATGCCCTTATGATGAATTTTTTTAAGATTATATACTAGAGTCTTCAATACGCCAAGAATTTCCCATTTCCTTTCAGGCACCACAGGTGACATTATTCAGTTTGTTCCAGTTGGCTCAGATGATCTGATTATGTCTCTCACAAGCACTTATTTATACCCAGGATCAAACCTCAACCCCTTCTGCTATGTTGCCTCTCACTCACCCACATAGTACTCTTGCCTTATCAATGAGCCCCAAGTAAACTGCCAAGAGTTCTTTATCCCCCAACATCATTACTAATACTTTTAAGTCCTATATCTCCCTTGTCTAGAACTCAGCCATTGGTTTCCATTGGGCCAAAGTGATGGAAATTACAGGCCTTTGGAAGTGAATCCCTGAAATGATAGGATGGAGCTTTGGGTGAAGCTTTGGCTTGATGGATAGATACAAAAATTAACTCAAGTCTTGTGTCCTGGGCACAAAGAAATCCCAATCCTATCATGAGATTCTAGCTATGATTTTTCCTCCTCTTCTTGCATCTCTGAATTCTCTTGGCTCACCTTTGCCTATGAGGTGGGAGATTCTCTCAGGTTGGAGAAACTTCCCAGGTAGAAAGACTTTTCTTAAGGTCAAGTAGATTTTTCTTTCTGTCAGTAACTCATGCCTTCCTGTCCCCCAATTTCCTATCATGATATCTATGACCCAGAAGGAACACCCGGAACTTTGAGCATGCTCATGTTCCTTTACCCTACATGCTCCCAGATCCTGTCTTGTCTCAGCTGGTGTTTGGCCTCTGTTCCCATTCCAATGGAACAGGAAGAGGCAAGTGACAAATATGCCTGGGAGACCTGTCCTTAGTCAAGATGCAACTTACATTTTGATGATGCTGTTTCTGTTCCTCTTCACAATGTCTGTGGTTAACATCAAAGTGTCCCTGAGCCCAGGATCTGGGAAGTAGGAAAACGGAAACTCGGGATAGGTGTTCTTGAGCTGTATGGTGGCTCTGACTGGACACCAGTACATGTGGTAATTATGGCAAACAAAGAGGGACCTTCACTTGGATAATGGCAAGCTTCCTCTGCAATTTCCCTATGGAGGAGGAAGACTTAACAATTGAAACAGTGTCCTAGATAGCATTCACTGCTACCCTAAGATTGCAAAAATCACCTTAGGGGAAAACAGAGTCTTGAGGCACAGGCTCCACTAGTCAGAAGAACAAGTGAGTGACCCACCTGACAGCTGACATGCAACACTCCCCATATTCTGTCCCCAAAGACCCATATCACAGAGTAAACTATTCCAGCTCATCAACTTCACTGTTATTGGCCCCTGACCTCTTTCCAGCTGACTCTCCTGCTCAGGCACAGGCCACATCAATCAGAAGAAGAGATGCAGGACATATAATTAAGAACAGAGGCTCCCTGCTGCACCAAAAGCAATGCTAACTTTCCAAAATGAGCTCCAACCTTGACAGAATCTCACTCCCAGATCGAAGATTTTCCAATCAAACCACCATAATGTAACAAAGTAGACTTCAAACCTAAAGTAATCGGAAAAGATGAGTACTTTGTTTTGAAGTGGATTTTCATTTAATGATACAAATTTAAGGTCAATTTTGTGATATGTACATTTCTCCTCCTCTTGTTTAGGTATTGTGTTTATATAACTGGTTTAGAAATGTAATGTATACTTTAGTACAGATAGATAGTTACCTATAATAGTCAAAACTTATAGTTAGGTGAGTTCGGTTTTCTAGATATACAAAGATGTATTTGAAATGACTAGGCATTCTTCAAACCTTTCAAAGACCTAAAGAATATGGCATGTAAAATGGTTTAGGGTTTTTCTTGACAATGAGACATAACTGCTCCTGGCAACACCACCTATATCAGAAAGAAAGATTGACATTGAAGAAACTTGTTATGGAGTTTACTTTCAATATGACAAGACTAGCCATTTGGGAAAAATACTGCTCATGTCTGGACTGTTTGACTTTATGCTGTATAAACTGGACATGCAGGACCCATAGAAAAGTGACTGCTGATTCAAGATGGACATTGCTACAGGGTCCTGTTTCATGAAAGGGTCTGCCAGACAGTCTACAGGACACAGAGAAAAGTGACTGACAAACTGCCAATACAGGTGGACAGTTTAAAGTTTCCTGCTTTGCTGAGGAATCTGTCAGACACACTATGGCCTATAGGCTGAAGATGGAACATTACAGACGAACTTCGGGTGACTGACCAGGCAGTGAGTTGTCTCTGTCATTTCTAGAGTTTATATACTATCCTTTGGTGGTCTTTGAAGGAGTTGAAGACAGATAGTTAGGGTTATAGTTTTCCTTAGTTAGGATTAAAGATAAGTTACATATAAGACTTTAGACTCACAAAGATAGGATAGATGATAGAATATTTTCTTTAAATCTTGCTAAATGTTAATGGACTAAATATTATTAACTGTGGTTCTTATTTGATAATTGTTTTGTTATATATTTTACTATGTTAAAGTTAAAACCCTTCTTTTTATTTTAGACAGAAAAGAGGAGATGATGGTAGATGTCATTCTGTAAATATGTTTCTCTTATTGGTTAATAAATAAAGCACTGTTGGTCAATAGGAAAGCAAGATAGGCAGGACTAGGAGACAAGGAGGATTTGGAGAGAGGGAGGAGGAGATTCAACATGTAGGACCAAGAGAACAGAGGTCCCAATCCTCTCTCCAGTAAGCCAAGACCATGTGGAAATACTTAGATTAATAGAAATGGGTTAATATTTAAGACAGAGCTAGCCAATAAGAAATGTTAGTAACAGGCCAACAGTTTTATATCTAATACTGTAAGGAGTATGTTTTTCCACCACTGGTCTTGCCGCCACGCCAGCCCCAATCAACACACAGAGACTCTGTATTAGATAATAATGCTGTTGGACAGTTACTTGTTTCTTATCGGCTAGCTTTCTTTGTTACATAGGATGAAGCAATACCTGTATGCTTCATGCAGGATGGAGACAAAATGTTGTAGGAGAAATAAGTTTGTCAATTATCTCCTGGGCCAGGGATTAGCACCAGGGAAGGACCTAGGCAAAGGGCAAAGGTGACTCAGGAAGAGCAAGGAGGGCTTAGACTCACCCAACACATAATGCTGAAGGTTGTCTTGAAACCCTCCATATGATACAGTCCTTTCAAGGACACACAGGTCACCTCTTCCCAAACACTGAGCACATGAAACTCCACACAACTGCCTCTAAGCCTCTCTCCTGGATCCTTAAATTCAACGGTGACATTAGTGACTAAGGATTGATCTTCATCCCTAGTCACCATCCAGCTGCTTTCTTTCTGGTCTTCAGAGACTTCCCTGTCTCTTTCCTGCTGGGATTCAGTAAAGCCCACCTTCACAGAGCATTGAGACCACAGGGCATACCAGGTTCTCGGCGGGTTCTCTGTGTCTCAAGGACTTATAGGTGTGATGGAGGTTCCTTCTGGTGCTGAGGGACCCAAGGCAAGGACACAGCAGGTGCCAGCCCTAGGATGAGTCATTGTTCTCTGAAGGAATGAAGATTCTTATCAGCGTCGTTGCTCACGTGTGTTGCTTGGAGGAGACACATAAAGGGAAGTTGGGAGGGATGTAGGTCAGCACTGAGGGTAGAAGGCATTAAGCAGTGCTTGGGACTCAAACTCCACCACTCACGGCCCCGGTCTGAGAAGGAGAAAGGACAGCAGAGCCTGAGTTCTGTGTTGGAGCTGAGGCTCTTCTCCTCAGAAGCAGGACAGAGAGTGAGAAGATTGATGGAGGGGTCCTCTATGCTCCTTTGTAAGGGGTCTACCCCCTGGCAGGGGCTGCTGCTCACAGGTAAGGGCAACCATTCTCTGCCTGTGCAGGGAAGGAAACTCAGAAGCAGGCTGGAGTCTCCTAAAGAGGACGGGAATTTAGGAGACCTAAGGCCTTTGCTTATGGTTATGGTGCAGAAGGCAGAGTGAGGGGCCTGAAGCTTTTGGTGGGCAGGATGTGATGATGGCAAGAGAAAAGCCTCAAACTTTCCATATTCGCTGTGAATTACATTGGCCGCAATGTTCTGAAGACAGCTGTAGCCAACCAACAGTATGACCCTCGTATCAGAAATCAAGCAGAGAGGACTAGTGAGACACCTCAGTGTGTGACAATATGACAACCTGAAACCAATCCTCAGCTCCCACACAGTGGATGATGGAGAGGACAGACTCCCGCAGGCTCCATTCGGCCCTCAATATCAGATCTGTGGCATACACGCACACACACACAAGCGCGCGTGCACACACACACACACACACACACACCCTGACACATGTGCCTGCACACAGATTTGTGGCATACATCTTCATATGAGGGACGAGGGCAGGGTAGACACCTCAGCAGAGAATTCCTAAGAGAGCCACTGACTCACTCGAGATACTAGATCAATAGAAGCCATGTTGCACATGTCTGCAAAGAGGGTGGTGCATCCCTACTCACCACCAAAGCGGAGTGACGGTCACACCTGTTCAATGTTGCTGGTTTCTCTCAATTCTCCTCTAGCCTCCCTTTTAAGCTTCTGGCACCTGGCCACCACTGCCCATGTGACCGTGACCACCGAGTCAGTGCCACCCCTAGTGGCAAAAGGAGATGACGTCCTTGTCCTTGTCCACAATCCACCAGAGAATGTTCAAATCTTTGCCTGGTTCAAAGGGCTGACAAATATGAAAGATGCAATTGCATTATACGGAGTGTTCAACAATGTTAGTGGGCCAGGGCCTGCGCACAGTGGTAGAGAGACAATATATCGCAACGGATCCCTGCTGATTGAAAACCTCACCAAGAAGGACACGGGATTCTACACCCTGCGGACCTATGATGAACATATAAAAGTTATAACGACAACATCCACATACCTCCATGTGCAGGGTAGGTGATTCATTGTGAGCTCTGTGGGCCGGGTGATGTGCACTTCACTGGACACACACAGCAGAATGGCCTGTGCCTACCTTCCCTATGCATTGTGCCCCGTATTTGGTGTTTGAGCATTTTGTGCAGGACACACATAGTGTAGAATAATGGAAATAGATAAGAATCCTTCCTTTGACTTCACCTTGCACATAGGTAGACGCACGGTGGGTAACTCGGCCAGAGATGTCAGCCCCTGTGTAGAGTCAAGGGGTTCTTACTAGGAATGTTTCCTTGAGACAGACTCCTTGGGAATCAACATTGTGCCTGGTTGTAGAAGACAGGGGTGGCTCACAGAGATATGAACACCAGGATGCTCTGCTCCAAATCTCTGCCCCAGAGTCAACTCCAGGTGTCCATGAGAAGCATGTTATCTAAGGGTTGGATTCTGATTTCCTGATGGCAGGGGCCACTGCTCCCCAGCAGTCAATGTCTTGTGATGTGTGGAAACAGATAGTTCACCATCACGAGAGCCTTGCTTGGGCTACATCCCTTGACCATCTCTGTAAAAAAAAAAAAAAAATGGCTACAGGCCATTTTTTTCTTCACAGACATGAGCTTTAGTTCCTCCCACAATTACCAGGGATGTCATCAGTTACACAATGAACTAGCAGGAAACTTTTTATACGAACGAGGAACTTACTTAGTAACCTGGTTCCACCCATATTCTTACAGACCTGGAAATCATGGTAACAGCATTCTCAGACTGACTGGTTATCTAATGTGTCTGCCACACTGCTAAGACATCATGTATGTACTGTTCCTTTGGGAAATACATGACATCCATGGTGGATCAACAGTGTAGAAGCCCCCGAGGCATGTCAGAAAGATCATGGAGCACATGGTTAGACCCATTACACAGCTCAGCAAACAAAGGAGATGAGAACATGGTCTTCAAAATCTTGCAAAGGATAAAAGACTTTGCAGCCCTTTTCCAAGAATCAGGTCACCTCCCCCCACAGACCCAAGATGTGAGACTCCGGACACATTGTAGGCATCTGATCTCACTGGGAGCTCAGTCCTATGGTGACTCCAGTGAGGACAGATTATTATCTTCTGCACATCACTCACCTGGTCCATTTGTAGTCTCAAAGGTAGTTTTGCCATCTTCCTGCTGAGATCATGATCCATGTTTGCAGAGCATTGAAGGCACAGGGCACACTAGGTGCACAGCTGGGTTTCTTTGTCACATAGTTGTACAGATTCCCTTTTTGATGCCGAATAACCTAGGCCAGGACACAGCAGAGAGCAGTCTCAGGGTCAATTGCTGTTATGTCACAGGGATGGTAATTCCCCTTGGCGCTTACTGTGTGTTCTAGAGGACAGAAACATAAAGAAAGAATGGGAAACTGGGCGGGCAGAGCAGGGATTTGAACACAGACCCTCCCTCGGCTGATGGGATGTGCTCCTTCCTGTGAGGAGCTCAGCTCAGATGGGGGAAGGACAGCAGAGCTTGTGAGCTGTGCAGGAGCATTAGTACCCGGAGGGATGGCAGGCCAGCCTACTGAGACAATGGGAACAGCCTAAGCACTCCTGTGCAAACAGTGCAGCTCCTCTCAGGGGTGCACGGGACTCACGGATAGTGAGTGCGGGTGTTGACAGTGTGTGAGAGGAGAAGTCTGACAAACTGGAGTCTCCTGGGTGGCACAGGGACATGAGAGGATTCTCGGTGTTTGTAGGGGAGAAGACCCAGAGTGGGAGGGGTCACCATCAGGATGCTCTCCCTGAGTATTAGACTGTAAGGGCTGGGGAGACTTAACTCCTACACAAAGTTAGCAAGCATGGCCACAGTATTCTGAAGACTGATGCTCTCAGCTTGAGAGCCCAACCGGAAGTCACACTGGTGTGGATCACTGATATGGTTGAGATACAGGAATTTCCTTCCTTGTCTGACAAGCTGAGACCGATGAAGGGAAATCCTCTGACCTCCACATAAGTACTGTGTCCAGGATACACACACACACACACACACACATACACACACACACACACACACACACACACACACACACACTACACTGGCACTTATACGACTCATGCACAAGTATAATATGTAAACATGTGGAAAACATCAAGGCAAATGGAGTGATTCAATGCTGTATCCCTAAACCTATGAGCTCCTTAAATAAATTCACAGGCATTACTGGGTCTAGGACATCATTAATTATTTTACTCACCACATGTATCTTAGTTTCATTCTAGGCAGCATTTTCTTTTAAAAAGAAAAACAAGACAACCTATGATTCTTTATTTGAATTATAAACAATCTTACTTTACATATGAATCCCAGTTCACTCTCCTTCCCATCCTCCCATGCCCCTCACTGATTTCCCCATCCCATCCCCCTCTGCTCCCCAGGGTGGGTGAGACCTTCCAAGGGGGATTTTCAAGGTTTGTCACATCATTCAGGGCGGGATCTAGGCCCTCTCCCTTGTGTCTAGGATAAGAGAGTATCCCTCTATGGGGATAACAGACACCCATGTTCAGTCCTACGCTGGTTTCCCAGCTGTCAGTCTGGGGTCCATGAGCTCCCCTTGTTCAGGTCAGCTGTTTCTGTGGGTTTTCCCAGCCTGGTCTTGACCCCTTTGCTCATTGCTCCTCTCTCTCTGTGTAACTGGATTCCAGGAGTTCAGCTCAGTGCTTAGCTGTGGGTGTCTGCTTCTGTTTCCTTCAGCTACTGGGTGAAGGCTCTAGGATGTCATATCATCAATCTCATTATAGGGGAAGGGCATTTAAGGTAGCCTCTCCAATATTGCTTAGATTCTTAGACAACGTATGATCCTTAAGACGCCCCAGTTCAGGTGGACTTGAAGTAAAGGAAGCTAGAAGGTGAATTCAGGTATCGTCCACCAGCACGAGAGGAGCAGAGCAACAGCTGAACTCAGAGAGTGAAGACAGGGTCTGTAGGGGAAGAGGAAGAGCAGGCATCATCCCAGCCACATCCATTGTAAAAGAGAGCAGGGGTCTGAGGGCAGTAGCTGGGGCAATATTGACATCTGGATACAGGGAGCCATGCAGTGGAAACAACCGGCATGCGGACACTGAGAACAAGGTCGTGTGCTGACCTCCCCCCCCCCACGCCGCCGTGGGAGAGGGAGGCTCCCACCCACAAACCCGTGCTGGGCAAACCCGTGCTGCGCAATGAACACAGCTGCTTGGGGCACAGGGCCTCATCTTCATCAGTACAAATGCCCCAACGTGTACGTACCTCTCTCTTCCGTTCTAGATTTCCTTTGGAACTGTGGGCGCCATGCCACCTCCGCCCAGCCCACTGTTGAATCAGTGCCTCCCAGCGTTGCTGAAGGGGGGAGTGTTACTCTACTCATTCACAATCTCCCAGAGAATCTCCAAGGCTTTGTCTGGTTCAAAGGAATATCTGTGTTCTGGGAACACGAGATTGCCCGATACACAATAGGCAGAAGTTCAAGTGATACAGGGCCTGCGCACAGTGGCAGAGAGACATTGAACAGTGATGGATCCCTGACGATTCACAACGTCACTCGGAATGACACCGGACTGTACACCCTACGACTTATGAGTACAGATATGAAAAGTGAGGAAGCACATGCCCAGCTCCAAGTGGACAGTGAGTGATTCTCTGTGTTTGTTCAAGGCTGGGCGGGGCTTAGACACACAGGACTGTCACCAGTGGGCTGGTCTCATTTCCCTCCCCAGTGTGTCCCCATGTGGAGGTTTGTGCATTTCATTTAGGACAAGCATGGTAGAGACAAATGGCCGTAGATCGGCATCCATCTTCTGACTCATCTTCATCAAGGAAGACCCTGATGGAAATGACTCATCCTAAAATGTCAGAGTCAGCCCTGAGCCCTGTCGTCTTTCCAAGGCTGGATGAAAGTGACCAATGGGAGCACTTATCCTGTCAAAGCTGATAGGCGATAATGGATTTAGAACATCTGCGCCAAGACGGGGCCTGTATTAGCTCTTTGCCATCGTGTCGTAAATAAAATCCAGGAACTGGTAGTGAAACCGTGGAGGAGTGCTGCCCACTGGCTTGCCCCTCATGGATTTCTCAACCTGCCTGCCCAGGGGTGAAACCGTGCATTGGTCTCAACCCTTTCATCTCAGTTTCCAGTAAGAAAAACAAAAATTGAAAAATGTACTACAGTTTTGCCCACAGGCCAATGTAGTGACGCCATTTTCAACCGAGGCCTGTCTTTCAAAATGACACTCGTTGTGAAAAGTTGACATACACCTAGCCAGTCTCGCTCACAAGCCTTTTAAAGACCTGAGTCTGCCACGAAGGTCAGACTGCTCCCTGATGCCCCCAGTCCCAGTCCTGAGGGCTGGCAGGCAGGGAAGCTACAGCGTCTATGGTGAGGCGTCAGGGTTTGGTTGGAGCCACACTGGAAACTGAAAAAACACGTCCCAGTCATGCTGATTCATGGTAGGCCTCATCTGAGGCTCATTGTACATGCGTGTACAATGTCTGACCGAGAGCAGTGAGGGAACAGCCATGAAGACACATGAGGGGAGAGTCCCATGATGTGGAAATGACATGGGGGGAGCGGGGGCTCAGGTGCAAAGCAGAGGTCATCCTCCTGACCTCCAATAAGTAGCACAGACACACCCTCACCTGCTCCTCTAGCCTGAGTGACAAATCCGTCTTCTCAAGAAGGGTGTCAACATCTTCTCATTATGCACAATGATCCCCGTGTGGTAGCTTTTTTCTCTTTTCCCTCCTAGCCTATTTACCATGCTGCAACCCTCCCACCACTCCCCGAGTCATGATCCAACCAGTGCCTCTGTACGCTGCTGAAGGGGAAAATGTTCTTCTCCAAGTTCACAATCTTCCAGAAGATTTCCAAGCCTTCACTTGGTACAGGGCGATATACCGCGTTCCCCATTTTGAAATTGTCGAACTCAACAGAGAACTAGATACCGTCACCTGGGGAGATCAATACAGCACAAGAGAGGCCGTGTATAGCAACGGATCCCTGCTGCTCAAGAGCATCACTCAGAATGATGCAGGATTGTACACACTAGAAGTTTTGAAAAGTGATTTCAAAATTGAAAGGGCACATGTGCAATTCCATGTAAACAGTAAGTGACTCTGTGGTCTCCAGCTGCGGGGTGTGGCTTATCCTAATTCATACACTGAACTGTCAGGACCCACTGTGCCTGCTGCATTGTGTCCGCACAATAATGTTTGTGCACTCACTGCTGGACACATATTGGGGGGGGGGACAATTAAGTGTGGGTTAGAATCCCTCGCCTGTCTTTACCTGTACTAAGGAGAACCTGTTCTGGATAACTCATCAGAAGGATGTCAGGCTCGGTGCAGACTCTTGTGGCTCTCACCGTGCACATAGACTGAAGACAGACTCTGTGGGAGGCAGACAGACACTGATGTGGGAGCCATGGGGTCTGCACAGAGAGCACCAGGAAGCCCCGACTCCAGAACTTTGCTGCTGGCTGCACTCTGGCTTACACAGTGGAGATTTTTGTCACTGTTCGTTCTGATTTCCTTTTAGAGCTGACAGGGAACATGTCTTTACTGACCCTCCAAATCCCTTAGAGTATAGAACCAGCTGTGACAGCTGCAGTTGGGTAGGTCACCTGTGTATTTCTTTCTCCTGAGTCTCAGTGGACTATTGTTGTGATGGCGTGTGAGACTTCACAGGCAGGTGGAGCCACCAAGGGAAGAAACAGCAGAGGCAGCTAGTCCAGATTCTTCCTTCTCCTCATGGGTCCAGCCTGGGAAATTTTCTTCTGCATCTAAATAGGAACAGATGGTGCTGATGTGAGCAGCTCCACACCCCAAGGTCAAATCATTGCTCACAACTAAGCTTAACTCATGGACACGGCAATGATCTTGCTCTGTGTGTCCTATTACAGAAAGTGTCATAGGAAATAGTGTCTGAATCAGTCACAGAGCCCCTGGGTAGAAGAACCAAAGCACAGGCCATATCTATAATCACAGCTCCATACTCTGCCCCTGAAGCCTCTATTAAGTATGAACTGAAGAGGGGCTGGTTGAGCTCTCTGGATACCATCATTTGATACCCTCCTCTGTTTCTTCACAGAGTACGTAGAACGACCCTTTGTGCGAGTCACTAACAGCGTGGTCTCGTCACACAGATGTGTGATCTTCACCTGTGTTTCGCCCGACACTGACGTCTCCATCCGTTGGTTCTTCAATAACCAGCACCTGCGTCTTTCAAGGAGGATGACTCTGTCTCCGACAAAGTGTGGACTGAGAATATGTCCTGTACGGTTGGAGAATTTTGGAGAGTATCAGTGTGAGGTCTCCAACCGAGTCAGTTCCAAGACCAGTCTCCCAGTCTTGTTTGAGTGAGCTCTCCTTTCATCTAACAGTAGCATGCCAGCATTTCTTAATCAATGGGGCACTAAACAGAGAAAAGTTACTTGGTGAAATTCGTCAGTTATCATTCAGTTATAGCCAGCATGGTGATTCACATCTATCATCCCGGAATACATATGTGTACAAGGGCAGGCCAAGATTTAAAGTGATGCTATGTCTCTAAACAAAAACAGAGAAACCAATATGGTAAACAGAAATGAAAATGACTTGAGAGTTTAGATTATGGATCAGAATAGCCAACCATCAGAATTCATTGAAACTAATTTCAGGAACTGCCAAACTTTTGGATGCTCTGAGTCTGCATCCATGTGGTCAAATGCATTCATTGTTTAACTAATTCATTAATAAACAACTTAAGTGTTTATGTCTTTCAAACTTATAAACTGTAATACCTTTTGTAAGTTTCATTTGGAATTTGCTAACAAAAAAAATGCTATAATTATCTAGTTTTCAACCTCTATCAAAGACCTAAGAAGGATATAATATTAACAGAGTAAACAGGAAGTGCAGAGCCAACATCTTCCAACTATAAAAATGACAGAGACATCCTGCTGTCTGGAGAGTCACCCCAAGGTTGCTCTGTAAGGCTGGAGGACATTCAGCCTACAGGCCTAGAATACCCGACAGACTTTCTTGTGAAGCAAGGTTTTTGAAGGACTGTCCCAACGTGTTTGGCAAAGTTCAGTAGTAATCTTCTTTTGAGTCTTGCTTGTCCAATTTGGACAGCATACCATCAGCAGTCAAAGGGCAGGTTTGTTTGCCCAATGACTAACTTTGCTGCAATGAAAGCAGGCTCTACATGGAGGTTCTTCAATGCACAGCACCCATTTTTAAGTGAATTGGTTCTGCCATGAGCAGACATGTCTCACTGTCATAAAAAGCCTTATGCTATTAAAACATCTTAAATGCCATATTCTGTAGATCTCTGAACTGTTTGAAGACCATAGGTGTATCTAAAATATATTTCTGTTTGACATTGAAAACATCCCTAACATGGTCACAAATTTGATTATTAGATGATTAACTACTAACCTGTATTTCTTAATTACCTTAAATAGATTGTAATAACAACTTTGAAAGACTAGAAATTTATATTACATTGTCAAAAGAGCGCCATAGGTATAACACCTTTAACAAGAGAAGAAACATTCACGCAGTTTAATAAAAATAATCTAAAATTTTATCAACATACTGATACTGCTAGCAATAGTGGAGAGGGTGCCTAAACTGCCTTCTCCTATAATCAGATTGGTGACTACCCTAATTATCGTCATAGAACCTTCATTCAGTAATTGATGGAAATAGATGCAGCTGAGTTCTAGAAGTCCAGCTGAAGAGAGGGAGGTGGGATCGTATGAGCAAGGGGGAGTGTCAAGTTCATGATGGTGTAACCACAGTGACAGCTGACCTGTGCTCATGGGAGCTCATGGACTCTGGACCAATAGCTAGGGAGCATGCCTGGGACAAACGTAGGCCTCTGCATGTGGATGGCAGTTGTGTAGCTTGGTCTGTTTGTGGGACCCCTAGCAGTGGGATCAGGACCTGTCTCTGGTGCATGAGCTGGCTCTTTGGAACATATTTCCTATGGTGGGATGCCTCATTCAGTCTTGATTTAGTGGGGAGGAGCTTGGTTCTGCCTCGACTTGATATAGCATGCTTTGTTGACTCTCCTGGGAGGCCTTATGCTTTCTAAATGGAGATGGAGGAGTGAGTAAGGGGGAGAGGGGAGATGGGGGGAGGGGAATGGAGGAAGGGAGGGAAGGGAGACTGTGTTTGTTATGTAAAATAAATTTTAATAAAAGATATTTTTATGTGTATGGTACTTTGGGCTCCATGTATGCTCATGGCAAGCGTGCCTGGTGCCCACAGAATCCAGAAGAGGACAACGGATCCCTGGAACTGGAGTTATAGATGGTTATGAGCTGCCCTGTGTGCTGGGAGCTGAATTTTGCTCCTCTATGATAACTGAGAAATCACTCCAGCCATTCGGGGTGGATGCTTTCAAAGGCAGATCTGACTGGTAGAAGGCAGAGAACAAGAACATGTTGGAACTCTTGCTGAAAGGGACAGTTGCATTTGTCACCTTTTGGCTATGGATTTGGGATACTCACTTGCTCCATATGAGACCATTGCCATTAATACCCATGATTTAAGTCCTGTCACTTCAAGTGTTATTTCTAGAAAGAGCACAGTCACATAATAGTGGAGGCAAATTATTTAAATCTGTAACCTCTTCAGCAGAAAAGTTCCTGTGCTGGATATAGTATCCAGTGGAAGGGGCAAATAAAGACATATGTCTGACTTTCTGGTACTAGCATTTATAAAACATGATTTCCTGTCTGGCATGTGGGCTTAGGGGATGTGAAATCCTGCAAAAACTCTCCAGAGGCAGGTGGTCTAATTCTAGAGTCAAGTCTAACTGTCCATTTGTTTTCTGAAAAAATAGCCAGCTCCTCCTCCACCACAGGGTAGAGACACATCTCTGTAGACAAATAGCAGGTGCTTCCCACACCTGCCATCCATTATCTGTGTGAGCCTCATTTTGCCACTGTGTTTCTGTGTCTCGATACCCCAGTGGTAACACATGCTGTAAGTGAATATTGTCATGGCAATAAGGTAGACTAAATATGAACAAGGATCTGGCATTGGGACAAGGCAGATATCCATATCAGCAATGCCTATTACTATGTACATACAGGAGACAGTGCCCTGGACTTAACCCCTGAAGACATGAAGTCATCGGGAGCACCTGAGTCCTCTATTCCTCCCCTTGCACAGCACGGCATTCCTTTGAAGTCTCATAAGCCCGTCAGAGTAGTTGGCCAAGGTCCTGGGCCCCTGTGCAGCTGTGCCTTCTGTGCTAAGACTCAGAAAGACATGCCCAGGTGACCTAGCCTAACTATGGCTCTCATAGGAACACTGCCTGGTTCCATGAGCTGGAGATCCAGTCCGCTGATAAATTATTCTACTCTGTTAGCTCTAACAGGTAATATCCTGAGCCTGCCCACACTCCCAACTCACCTGGAGTCAGGAATCTGGGACAGCCAGGGTTTCATGGTGGTGGGTCTCCCTCTAGTAAGATTCTAGTTCCCTCAGGCACACCCTCCCTGATCACAGGCTTTCTTAGGGCCACATTTATATTGAGATCCATACAATGCGGGTGTGCTCTGATTAACCAACTACACATCTTACTGTCAACAGGGTGAATTTAGATAAAAGATCCCAGCATTGCAGATTGTATCAACTGGGTACATCCAAACCCTAATGTGGGCAAAAAAAAAAAAGTGAAATGAAATAAAACATTTTAAAAATCATGTATCCATCTGGATATTGTTTGAAACAAAACAACAAAGATCCACTGGTACACATTGCTTCTCTGACATTGTATACAGGCTCCAGTAAGCTTTGACAGATCGCAGAAGCAGGTGGATCTCTATGATAGGAATAGTAGGCATCACCCGGTTTCTGATGGACAAGATACCTTTCCCTACAGATCTGTAACACCTACCGGTATTGCCTGGCTTCCTCCAGATCTGTAACACCTACGGGTATTGCCTGGCTTCCTCCAGATCTGTAACACCTACGGGTATTACCTGGCTTCCAATGGCCAGGGTACCTTTCCCTACAGAGCTGTAACACAATGTTGACAGTCTAAATGGGATGTCTCCATCAAGTCCTTGACCTCAGAGGTCAAGGAACCCTAAGAAGAGGAGGCAGAAAGAGTGTAAGAGCCAAAGAGAATGGAGAACGCCAGGAGTGCAAGGCCTTGCGAATCAATTAAGCAAGGCACACGTGAACTGACAGAGATTGAATCAGCATGCACAGGCCTACATGAGTGGGTACCAGGTCCTCTGTATGTACATTAAAGCTATTACCTTAGTATTCTTAGGAGACCCCCGACTCTGAGAACAACTGGGTCTCTGACTCTTGTATCTGCTCTTGGGACTTTTTTACTCCTGTTAGGTTGCAGGGTCAAACACCAATATAATAGTTTTTGTTTCACTTTATTATATTTTACTTCCTCATGTTTTGCTGTTATCTCTTATAGGCCTATGCTTCTCTAATGAGAGAAAGAAAGGGATGGATCCCCATGGTGGGGGATGTGGGGGAAGAACTGGGAAGGGTTTAGAAAGGGGAAACTATAAACAGTATATATTACATAAGAAACTATTTTAAATTTAAAATGTTCATTCTTCAAAGTGATTAATTAACAAACTTTAGATTTACTTTGTTTTTAATTATATATTTTTAATTAATTTAGAAACAATCTTATTTTACCTATCATTCCGAATTCCCTCTCCCTCCCATGCTCCCACAAACTCCCCCATCCCACACCCCATCCACTCCCTAGGGAGGGTGAGGCCTTCCATGGGGGATCATTAAAGTCTGTCACATCATTTGGGGCAGGGCCTAGGCCCTTCTCTGCGCATCTAGGCTGAAAGAGTATCCCTCCTATCTGAATCTTCTTCGAATCCCCCAAGACAGCGCCCCTTACCAGCAGGAAGTAGTTTGGAAAGAACGACGCCCAAATTCCCAAATATTGTGTATAAATGTTTGTTTTCATTTAATTGGACTTTGTTATATAAAATTAAATAAAAATAAAGAAAGAAAGAAAGAAAGGAAGGAAGGAAGGAAGGAAGGAAGGAAGGAAGGAAGGAAGGAAGAGTATCCCTCCATGGGGAATAGCCCTCAAAGTCCATTTGAGCACTAGGGGTAAATATGGTTCCACTGTCAGAGGTCCCATAGACTGCCCAGGCCTTCTAACTCACACCCAAGTTCAGGAGGCTTGGTTCCATCCTATGCTGGTTCCCCAGCTGTCCAACTGAGGTCGTAAGCGTCCACTTGCTCAGGTCAGTTGTTTTTATGGGTTTCTCCAGCGTGGCATTAATCCCTTTGCTCACCCCTCCTCCCTCTCTACAACTGGGTTTCAGGCGTTAGCTTGATCAGGAAGGGTTTATGAATCTTGTCAAAAG